AAAGAGAAAAACTGAAGCAGAAAGGTAGACAGGGAATGTTAGGATGTTGCAATTTTAGAGAAGGTGGCTAGGCAAAGCCTAAATAAGTGTGACTTGAATAAATATGTGAAGTAGATATGGGAGTGAACCATGGATTCTCAGTGGAAACACATTCCCAGCAGAGGAAACACCAAAGGCAATGACCTGGAGGTGAAAGTATGTCTAGGTGATTTAAGAACAGAAAGACCAGCATGGCTGCAACGAAGACAGAAAAAAAGGAGGAGAAAGTCCTGAGAAATGAGGTTAGAGAAGCAGTGAGTGTCCAGAGCATACTGAGCCATGGAGTCCATGGTAAAGTTCTTGGATTTTATGGAGATCCAAAGCCAGGATCTGAGCAAAAATGACATCACCTCTTCTCAATTTTTAAAAGGAGCTTTATATGTTACCATCATTTCACGACAAAGTATTTGTAAGACGCCATCTTTTAAAAGAATTCCTATTTCAAGATGCTAAAATGTCAAAATATCTTAGAACCAATAAAATGTGTTACTTCCGATGCTTGTTTGAATTAGCTCCTTTTTTGATATGAAATTTCACTTCTGTTCTTCTTTTACAGCAGCCATGTGTGCTGTCATTTCTCAAATAATAGATATTTGGTATTATATAAATCTCGCATGACCAATGTGAGATCTATTTCAGTAGAAAGGCTGACTTTCATGTTTGTGTCTGTGTTTTTTTCACTCTCTTGTTTTGTTTGTAGGGTCAAACTAGCTCAGTGAGAATATGGGAATTTATAATCTTCTGGGTAATTATTTTGCCGAATCTTAAAGAACATGTCTAATGGAATGCTACTGAATAACTAATAATGATAGGCTGTGGGTGCCTATCATACACACAAAGTCATTAATGCTCAAAGCTCAAACAAAATAGTATGTTTCTACAATAGTAACTACATAACTATAGTAACAGTAACAGCAATAATCACAACTGTTTTTTGCATTCTGGAAATAGGTACCCACAGGCATAATAAAATTGTTGAAAGGCCAAGCTCAAACAGCATCTGAGTAGGCTAGAAGACTTCAGGGACATTTGAGAGCCTCACTCCTCTGGAGTCTTGCCATTTGCACAGCTGGGAGGGCGGGGGGAGGATTTATTAACAGAATGTCTCCATCCAGGATCAAGGGGTACACACACCAATTGTAACCATACCATTACTCTCCTCTGCTTAGGCTTTGCAGTTTAAGTTGCTATGGCATGGAGTGGAATACTGACAGAGTGGCTTTACTGAAATTGGCTTTCAGGACACATAGTATCTAAATCACATAGTCTATCTTCCTCTTCTTCCTAAAGGATTTACTACAAAGAGCTTTTCCATGTCAATCTGTAAATCCCCCTCATTAAAGCCTTTGAAGTGGTCGTCTGCTTAGTTGGTGGCTCTGCTCTAACCAACAGGTACTATGTTCCTAGAGAAGAACTTAAGAACTCACTCTCAGAACTTTGACCTCACTGTCACCTATGGAATAAAGGAAGGATTGCAGCCTTATCAGTACAGTATTGGGATTAAGAGTACTGTAAGTCTCACTTCTGTCTTTTACAACTTATGTGGCATTGGGTAAGATTATCCGTTGAAGCCCTAGTTTCTTTATCTGTAAAACAAGGGTCAAAGTAATAACACGGGTTTCGTAGAGATTCTTATAAAACTTGCACGAAATAATGACCACTAATTGACTTACACAGGGCCTGAAAATTTGCCTACAAAATGTTCTCACCACCACCATCACCAACATCACCAGTTGGTGAAACTGACATTACTTCCCTCTCTTCTTTTGGTATTTTAGGCTCTGGCAATATGTCATTCTTCCACCAGTGTCTAGATCTTAAGTCAATTTCTAGTGCTATTTCCTCAATCTATTTTCACCAGTGTAGAAAATGATACATATGCTTTAAATATGTAAGATCAATTCTTAGCTTTTTTGGTAATTGTATCAGAGTTTTTAATTCTTTCTTTGATGAGTTCTTCATAATCTTAGTTAGAAAAAAGGAAGGTAAAAAAAAATTAGATATTTCCTCATAGTGAATTATCTTCCATAATTTCAATTCTAAGAAATACTGACATAATAAGCACAAAACACCTAATTCAAATTAAGAATGATCTGCACTATATCTTTCCTAACAATTCACAAAAGCATAATTAGATGTCCTTCTTCTTAATTGACTTCAACTTTACTAAGTTCTTTGGTACAAAGAAAATGCATTCTGACTGTGCCATCCATCCAGGTTCTAATAGAACATATTACTCAACAAAAGTTAACCTGAGGGCGAGAACAGCCCACTGTCAGGCTAAAGAAGTCCTTCTGGTGTTTTACTGTTCCCTCCAACACCACATGGCAGGTTTCAGTAACTCTAACCATAGGAAATTCAACTCATATACTGCAAAATATCATGGAAAAGACTGGGCTAGATAGGATTTAAGGCTTGCAATAATTCTTCTTTTCACAAATACTGACAGCAGTTTAGTCCTCTGCTATTGGAACAACTGAAGAAGCAAACAACACTTGTTGCCAGAAAAACGTTGTAATGCCAAAATAAGCAATGATAAAAGACTGTAAGAGAGTGAAAAAAAATGCTTTATATTTAATAGTCAGGCTAATGGGTAATTTCTAGGTTCAGTTATATTCAACTAGAAATTGGCCACACAAAGTCATTAATGCTAAAAGCTCAAACAAAATAGTCTGTTTCTACAACAGTAACTACATAGCTATAGTAACAGTAACAGCAATAATCACAACTATTTTTGGCATTGTCATGGGCCACTGTTTTAAGCTATATGCTTTCCATACATTATTTCACTTAATCTGCATAAGCATGTTAGAAATTGGGTATTATCTTCCTATTAAAAGCTGGGAAACTAGAAGAAAGAAAAGGCAGAGATTATATAGCTGTTTGTGGCATATTAGGGATTCAAACCAATGTCTGTCAGTCAAGGCAAACAGTCTATTTGTTCTGACTGAATAGCATCAACCATTGATTGGACTAGCTTGCCTGTGGCTTTCAAGGTTAAACTGATAGAGCCGTTATCTCCAGGCATTTGTAATCTATTAGGTACAGACACACAAAAGTAAAGCAAAAACCAAAGGCTATAATAAAAAGTGGAGTGGGATTCACACCATAATGGAAGGAAAAACTTACAGTGGTATTTACAGATGCAAAATGGAGGATTAATTCTGATTGTGGGGTAGAGGACATTTGAGTTTTAATTCACTAGGCAGTGACCAGGACAAGGAAACACCTGTCTGAGGGTATGATATGAACACAACTACAGAAACAGTATGCCACAGAGTGTGACAAAAGAATGGACAAGAGGTTGGTCTGGAGTTGGCAAGAAGCAGCATGGGAAATGCAGCTGCAAATGCAGATTAGAGACTGACCACTAAAGGCTGGAAATTATACTGAGCGTGAAAAGGGTTTTGCAAGACATAATAATCCACTGAAGGTTTTGATCAAGGGAGAGCTGTACTGCAGAAGACTGACTTAGAGGTATGTAGAAATCATTGAGAGAGAAACAAAAGAAGAGAAGAAAGGAAACCAGTTCATCTGAAATGGGACTAAGGAAACAACCATGAAAGGCAATAGGGAGGATTTGGTTGGTTCTCACTCATTCACCCAGCAGCTTCCACTCAGCACCCACCTAGTATGTGTTAGGAACGAAAAAGGAGGGGGAAGAAATGGACCTTGCCCTCACAGACTCATACCAATGGGGAGAAAGATGGAAGTAATCAGGAAAAAAAAACGTGAAAGGCATTCATGCAAAGCAAACTGCAGACGTTAGTTCACAAAAGCATGTTTGCCTTGGAGTTTCTCAAGAACTACAGGTGGTTCTTTAAGGTGGATACCTAGAGAACAAGTTGATGACGAGCTAAAGAAAAGGACAGAGAGGCAGGCAGTGCCAGGTCCTAAAGGGATTTCTCCTGCAGGTTGTTCGGATTTTCATAGAAGACAAGCGGAGGCACTGAAGGAGTTTAAGAAAGAGGACTAAAGAACAGTGGTAAAGATCAGATTCCTGATGCCACAGAAACTGAAAAGCAGCAACTGAAATGAGGGAGACAGAATCAGGCAGGTCTAGCCCTGACTACATGGTGGGCACTGGGAGAAAAATCTGCATTGCTGATAAGGTTAACGGGAAGAACAGGTAGAGTGTGATAGGAGAGGAGGGCCTGAGGGCTAACAGTGGTAATGTATTTCCCAGTCCCAAACAGTGTTGCAAGGTGAGGGACAGTTATATAAACATTCAAAACCATTCAGCTGCATACAGAGCAAACAATTTTTGGAGGCTAGAAGGAATTAAGATTAAAGTTAAGCTCTGAAGCTTCCAAAAAGACTTTGCTACACTAATTTGGGTGGTTTGGGCAGGCTGAGAGATGATATGAATATACTGATGACATACCGATTGCACCAAAGCAGAGCTGATATTTTTAATTAAAAAATTACACATATATGTCTAAAGAAAGAAGTAAAACTGTAAGAAACAACCCGGAGAAGTACTGTGCACCTCACAGCAGCTGATGTGCAGCTCTGCTCTTTTGGGAGAGAACTCTCTCCATTATCAAGGTTTTTTATATTGATGTCTTAATGATGCTTAAACTGCTTTAGAATTCTTGTTTGAACTAAAAACAATAACGTGGTTCATTTGGAAACTGTTAAAACATTTGGTCCTAAAAAATGAAAGACTAATCCTCCTCATTCAAATACATAAATATATAAATTTGTTTTTATTTGTTGACCCTGACCTCTTTGATACCTCTTTGGATATAGTTGATTATGGATGTTCCTGACTTAACCTACGTGAAAGAAAACAAAAACTCCAATCTGGACCCCAATTCACTAAGCCAAAAGAAAAAAAATAAGCTGAAAGCTGAGTCATGAAAGAGGCTGCCTTTCCTTTTGTCCTAAGCAGATACCTACAGATAAAAATATTAAATATCAACACAGGTAGCTACTCCAGGTTCACCTTATTTTAAGTAAAGTGCCCATTCACTGAGGCTGAGAGGAATGTGCCTTTTCTCTTTCAACATATGGATAATAGTTCCCTGCCTCTTTCCCCTCCAGCCCACTTTTCCCCTTTAAATATTGAAGCCCTCAAAATCATCTTTGGAGAAAGTTACAGACCATATACTGTTTCTGTGGTTACATGTTTATTTCCTCCACGCATGTCCCTAACCTTGGCAAAATAAACTAAACTGATTAAGACCTGTCTCAGATACTTTTTTGGGCTATTCTTACATCCCAATAAACCCACTGTTAGTTGTAAATATTGTAAGTCAAAAATGTATGTAATGCTGGCAACACAGCAGATAGTCTCCAAATTACAATCATTCAACTTAGGATTTTTCAACTTCAGGATAGTGAGAAAGCCAAACACATTCGATAGAAACTGTAACCCCATCTTAAAGTTGAGTAATCCTAAACTGAACCATCAGAATTCAGGGACCATCTGCATTTTGAAGTGCTAAGCTTTCGGGGTTATCTGAAAACTATAAATCATTTTACTGGTTATAAGTAATTCAAATGTCATTCACATTTAATTAAACAAAAGCTTTAAGTTTGGTGTACCTATAGCAGAATCAAGTTAGTCAGAAATGCTAACAAATCCAGAAGACTTTGTAGAGTCATGTGCCACATAACAACCTTTCAGTCAATGACAATCTGCATATATGATGGTGATTCCATAAGACGACCATATGGTAGTTTTACTGTACTTTTTCTATGTCTAGATACACAAATATTTACCGTTGTCTTTCAATGGACCAAAATAACATGCTGTATAGGTTTGTAGCCCAGGAACAACAGGCTATACTACAGAGCCTAGGTGTGTAGTAGAGTATGACATCACAAGGTAATGTAAGTATACTCTGCAACATTCGCACAATGATGAAAATGCCTAAAAACATGTTTTTCAGAACATATCCCTATCATTTAGTAAGACATGACCGTATCATAATTGAGTTATGGAAAATTTGATGTGAAAAATAACTGAAGACTTTTCTATTGAAGTCCAAAGACAAAGAGGGCAACATTAGGGGATTCTGAAGCAGTTCATGCTCATCTAGATAACTACTTTGTGGGAATTATGAACTAAAAAGATGACATTTATTCATTTAGTTAATAAATATTCTTGGTCTACCATGGGCCATTGTAGCTATTATGAGACATACAATCTAATGAGTGTCAGGTCTCCATATGCAAGCCTGGAGCCTGAAAGTCTAAGGTCCTGCCTGCCTCAGGTGATTGTCTCCCACCCCCCACCTGCATTCGCCACTGTCCCTGATTGCCCAGTGGAGCTTCCCTAGACAAGCCCCTCACCCAACCCTGCCATCTTAACTGTTCTTATGATGATGTGAATGCCTCTCACCCATCCTGCCATCTTAACTCTTCTTAAGATCATGTGAATGCCTCTCACACAGCCCTGTCATCTTAACTGTTCTTATGATCATGTGAATACCTCTCACCCATCCTGCCATCTTAATTGCTCTTCTGCCTCACCCCCACACGCCATTGTAACTGAACTTGTGGTCATGTATATTCCTTGCCCCTAACCCCCACCACTGTAACTAATCTTACTCTGTGACACACCCGTCCCTCCAAAAAACGACTCCAACCTATAAAACCAAGTCCCACCTTACCGCCTTCGCCTGTCCTTTCTCAAACTTGGCCCACTTGTACCCAAACGAGAAATAAAACAGCCTTGTTGCCCACACAAGGCCTGTCTGGAAAATCTCTTTATTAAATACATTTAATATACAAATAACAATGAGCACATAGTTAGTTCCTTGAGGCACCTGAGGCTAAATAAAAGTTTTCTTGTACCTTTTTAAAAATTTTTATTCTTATAAAAAACAGTATTCCTATACTTTGGAGTTTTTTTTTTTGTTCTTAAAAAAAGGAATAAACTCTAAATTGTTTTTTGGTTAAAACTATTCTTCCTGAGAGGGGAATATGACCAAACTTTGTTAAGGCTGATATGTTTCTCTAAAATTATTATTAGTCTTAAAAAGTGAAAACAGAATTTGCTGATCCCTGAGAAGAAACAAAGGAGGAAAAAAAAGGAAATAATGAAAAAAAAAATAAATAAAAAAAAAAAAATAAAACCACACACTAAAAATAAGTCCACCATAAACAAACGTTATTTTGTTATTCTCATCCATGGGAAGTACAGTATAGGAGGCAGCATGGAGTGGATGAGTAAAAGATGCATGAGATTCATGTCATACCTCATCTATTGGAGGTATCTCAATCCAGCTGAAGGGCATTTCCTCCCTTTCTTGTTAGATCTGGCTTGCTTTTTCTGATTCAGTTTCAAGTTATGTAGGGAATGGTCTGATGATTAAAAGGGCCAAAACAGACGCACTGGGTTCCATAAGCACTGGCTGCATTGTGAACCCTGCTCATCATGTTGTGAATGTTTGTAGGTCACATGGGCAGGTGGGGAAGGTAAAGTGATAAGTCCAAGCATTATTGCTAGAAAATAAAACCTAGAGTCTGTTGTCATGGACTCATGGGACCATTTCTAGAACTGCATACTGTGCACTGTTTTTAATATTATTTTATTTTTAAAGAACATATGACTGCTAACATCACCGCTGGGGCACTAATTTCACAAGCCCATTTAATCATGCTGGAGGTTTTTCTCCTTGTACACTCAACCCTGACTTTTGGTAAAACTAATCCAGAAACATAGTAGTCTAATAATTTTCATTAGAAAGTGGCTTTATAAATTTTACTTTTATATTACCTTTATAAATTTAAACTTTCAAGAATATATCTTTACATAAGCATAACCATCAGGAACAGACCTAATATTAAAGTATAAATCTCTGAAAATATGAGTTATTAGCTTTTTCAACCAAATGATTAACTGAAATGTGAAAAGTAAAAAATTCACAAAAAGTACCTTAAAAATATTTATGAAAAAGATGAAAGTGATAGAACATTTCGGAATCTTGTTAAAAGAATAAAGATAGTATTTTCTTTCTGATAAAATATGGTATTGGGAATCATATCAGAAATATCTATTATAACTATTACAGATGAGAATTGTATTCTCAAAAGGTTAGAGTAGCATATAAAATATAGAATTTCTTTAATTGTTAAAAAGAACATAACCCTTGAAGGGTTAGTAAGGGGAGCTATGTTTTAGCAAATCTGTTGCATATTGCAGAGTCTTAAAATGTGCCTGCTAGATTAACTTTTCCTTGCTCTCTGTGGGTCATGCCAACTGCCTAGTCAGTCGAGAGATCCTGGATACCTTAGTTGCCGGTGCAGGAATCATTTGGCATTTTCCTTCCTCTCAGTGGGAGCCTCTGACTGTAGCTGTTTCTAGTAGGCCATCTTGGCCCCAATAAGTTGTTTTTGTTTTTTATTTTTTTTTAAATAATAATAATAAGACATTTAATTTTATTTATGTGCGCTCTTTCACACCCAATTCTCCACTAAAACACAATTTCTTATTACCTTCCATATGAAGGAAGAAAAACAAATTGGGTAGAAAATTAAACAATCATTTAACAAATCTTTATTTTTAAGTGCCTATTATGTGCCAGGCATTGGCCTAGACACATGACCAAGAGCACAGTATGAATATGAGAGGGAAGGCCCCTGCCTCTGGAAGCTTACAGTGTAGCAGGGACTTAAGATTCACATCACACTGGGCATTCCCTAGCATTCTACCTTAATAGATAACTTAGTTTCTCAATGAGTTTTCTTGTTTAATTAAATAAGTACCCTCTCCAAACTAAATCTTAAGAAATCCAGAAGATCCAGATCCAAAGATTCCACGTAAAAAGGAAATATATCTTTAAAATCAATAGTTTTCCTTATTGTACTAAATATTCACTTGATGAAATTAACGTACATACTAATATAGATAAGTAAACAACCAGACATAATCAAGCTCAGTTGGCTGACATCTTTATTTCTAGGACATTTTTACATGTCCAGTGCTCTGCTGCATGTGGGGAGAAAGATACGTACATCTTATGAGGAGGATGCAACACCTGCCTCAACGCTAAGTTCCTGTCTCCTAATAACACATGCTGCTGGCTCTAGGTCACGACTCAGATTATACTGGCCACTCAGGCAAGCTCTACTTTGAAGAAACAACATTTCATCTTTCTCAGTTGCCTTAGGATATTAACAATTTGTTGTTACCTGCTCCTCTTGCTCCTTTCTTACTGAACTTTAAAAGCTTACAATCAAACACATTTATCAGTCAGTGATCTAAAGCCTGGGCTCTGAAGTCCTGTGGGTTCAAATCCTAACTGTGTGAATGCAGACAAGGTCATTTCCTTAGAAGGGTGCAGTTTCCTCCTCTATAAAATGCGGCACCCTGGTGTGAGTATGAGAAGATTTTTATTAAGGCACCAGAACTGTCCTAAACTAATCTGCTCTCTCACTTATCCTATGTTAAGGAATCCCAATTGAGGACCTGTAAGAAAAGAAAAGCACCAGAGAAACAAAGTGCTATGTTATTAACAGCTCAGTAAGCTCCTCAATAGCTCTGACAAAGCCTGAGAGTGTTAGTGGGTGAACTGAACAATGAAATGCTTCATGTCAAAAAGTCTTCTATTACTGTAAGACCCTTCTCCCAATCAGGTGAAGCCAAAAAGCCCAGAAATTACCTCTTCTATTACTGTAAGACCCTTCTCCCAATCAGGTGAAGCCAAAAAGCCCAGAAATTACCTCTATTTTAGAAAAGTAGGTTGCCATGCCATCTCAATAAGTTATTCCTCTCCAATCCAAGAAATTTCAGTGTCTTGTAAATTATGGAATGTAAATACCCTAACACAAAATATGCAAATGGATATGTTCTCCCTGACTCTGAAAGCATTTTAGAATATACTTCCTGGTAACTAAAAAAAGCTGTCTAGCAATCTAAGAAGAATAAAAGCCAAAACCATTCCTATCGACTTCCAAACATCTCTTTAGGCCTTTAGATTTTATCAGAGATCAGCATTTTAAAAGTATATTAACTCAGCCAACAACTATTTATTGAGCACTTACTTCATGCCAAGTACCATACAAGGCACAGTGCCCCTATGTGAAATGTTTTCTTCCCTTCTCATTCATTTTTGGATCACTTCTTTCATAGAGGAACATTCTTGCCTAATATCACAAAGTCCTTCCAATTCAGATATAGTCTCACAATGAGGCCACTAAGGAATGCTTTAACATGTTTTCCTAAAATTGGGATTCCTATAACTATATCAACACTCAGCGATGGTCTAAGGATCACCAAAGTCATGAATAAACATAATTTTCATAGATACTTTACAGAGATTAAACTATTTTTATTAACAAATGTAAATGTATTATGGAGTAGGGATAGTCACATGAGACTTTAAAACAAGAGATCTTAAAGAAATTTTGAGTTTGCATTGGCCATGTGGGGGTATCTCTCAGATTTACTGGAGCATATATTCCAGCTTTCTTATACTATAGAAAGTAAACTCTTTTGGTAAAAATGTTTGAACAGTACACCACATTGAAATATGTGTTAAAAGAAACTCTGTTTGACTGCTATACATTTAATAAATAATATACTTTAGCATAATTCTAGAGGAGTTGTCATAGCTACCAGCAGTTTTATCAAAGTATCAATTATAAAAATTATGGATTGAGAAATCAGCTTTCCTACAGTCTGTTTCTCTAAGCAAAGCTGCCAGAAAATATCCAGTCAAAGCTTTTTTTCAATTACTGCAATTTATCATTGCTAAAAAGCAATCTAGGGAGAAATTTCACTTATCTCTCTAAGAAACAGACACCTATATTGACTATTGAATCAATGATCTTCCATCACTTATCCCTGATTTTGTAATCTAGAATAGAGGCAAATAAGCATCCTTTATCCTTATCCCATGATTGTCTCTATACATACAATAGTAAGGTCATATGGGTAGCACAATTAAAATTTAGAGTCTTTCTAATATTATTACTAAGCCCCTAATACCTAAACATCTTATGAGGTCTGCTCCTAATACATTATGAAAAGAGTTCATTTCTTCATTAACAAATAATAGCATTCTCATACAAACGAATCTAGTATGTAAAAATTTATGAGGCTAGCATAACCTTGATACAAATAGTGACATTTCTGGCAGAAGCAACTGTAATGATAAGTCATTCTTATTCAGAAATCTGGATACAAAAGTCCGAAAAAAGAAAGCGGGCAAGCCAAATCCAGCAATGGCCAGAGTAGCTTTATCCCAGGGACCCAACAATGGTTAACATGAGAAAATCTTTCAGTGTAAGTCGCTGCAAGAAAATGATAAAAAGTGTACAATTATCTGAAAAGACACAGAAAATCATTCTGAAAGTTTGATACTAACTTTTGAATCAACCTCTCATCAAATAGGAGTAGATAAGAACTGCCCCAGTCTGATTAAAAATATTTAAGATGCAAAACTATAGCAAACATTATTACTGATGATAAAAATCTTGGAAACATTTGCTTTAGAATCAGGAAAAATACAAGAATGTTCTATCACTAAGAACAGTATAATGTTTTTATTTTGCCAACTTACAATAAAATAGAAATATGAAGTATAATTATTGAATAAAAATGACAAAATTGCCAATATTCACCCGTGATAGAATTTCCTTTTATTTTTTTAATCAAAGTCTCACTCTGTCGTCCAGGCTGGAGTGCAGTGGCATGATGTCGGCTCACTGCAACCTCCACCTCCTGGGTTCAATTGATTCTCCTGTCCCAGCCTCCCAAGTAGCTGGGACTACAGGCGTGCACCACTGTGTCTGGCTAATTTTTTGGATATTTAGTAGAGATGGGGTTTCTTCATGTTGGCCAGGCTGGTCTTGAATTCCTGACCTCAGGTGATCTGCCCATCTCAGCTTCCCAAAGTGCTGGGCCTACAGGCATAAGTCATGGCACCCAGCCTAGAATTTTCTACACAGAAAACCAGTCTATAAATTGTTAAAATTAAAAATAACTTAAATCATTAAATATAGAATAGATATGCAAAAGTGAATTACTTTTCTATAATTCTGGCTTTAAAAAAGGTCATAAAATGTTTTAAAATACAAAATTTATGATAAACACAAGCCAACAAAATAAGGTACTTAGTAACAAATTTAACAAAAAGTATACATGGACTTTTTTGGGGGAAAAAAAGTTTAAAACTTCATTGAGAGATATTGAAGGAGCTTCAAATAGTGAAGTATCTTAAAAAATCATCTATTTTAAATCTCTTGCTAGTTTTCTTTCCTTTCATCTCAGCTTAAATAATAGTTCCCAAATAATGCTTCCTAGAACATTTATGTACAAAGTAGGGTTGTTGTTCTTTCTGTTTCTTTTCTATTTTTTTTTTCTTGCCATTTCCTACCCCAGTCCATTCTTCATTTCCTTAACATTCTTTAGATCTAGCAATTATTTTATTTGTCTCGTACTTTTCTGTTGAGATATAAGGACTATCATAAGGGTCTATCTTTTCATTGTTATGCTCAGTGTTTACACTGGGTGGGAATTTAGTAAATATCTGTAGATTGAATTAATGATTTCAGGATAGTGCAAGGTTAGTAATTAATCTAGACTTATTTCTCTACTGGCTTTATGATGATTACTTCTTTCCACTTTTAAATACTACAGATGTGCCTACAGCCAACATTTTTGAGCAAAATAATACAATTTTGGAAGCATTTACTTTAGAATCAGGAAAAATACAAAAATGTTCTATCATGAAGAACATTATAATGTTTTTTATTTTGCCAGCTTACTAACAATAAAAAAGAAATATGAAGTGTAAGTATTGAATAAATATGACAAAAATGACAATATTCACCATGATAAAATTTCCTTTTTTTTTGCATTAAAGTCTTACTCTGTCGTCCAGGCTGGAGTGCAGCGGCATGATGTCAGCTCACTGCAACCTCTGCCTCCTGGGTTCAAGCAATTCTCCTGCCCCAGCAAAATGATAAAATTTTGCTCAAAATTTTATTATTTGATAGTTATTCTTAAAAATATCGTTTTCCTTTTTTAATGGCTTATCTATTATTTCCTTTTATGGGGAAAAAAATCAGCCATTCAATCTATTTATTCAAATGCTAAAAAATTCTCTTCATAATCAGAAAAGCTGGGAAATTATCATTTTGAAAAGTTCTTGAAAATAATATATCTAAATAAAAGGATTTAGATTGCCACTCCATCAGAAGACAATAGAAAATTCTGAAATTCATTTCTAATCTGACAGCTACCTCTTCTTAACAAGTATTAATTAAATTGCAGGGGAAAGATAAGAGGGCTCTTAACAATAAAATTGTATTATTTTCTGATTCGTGAGAGAGGTGAGATGTGTCTGAAGAAATTAGATGCTTGATTATACAATGCTGCTTAAGCATACATGTGATAACTAAGTAGTACCTTTTTTACATACTTTACAATACACACTTTTCTTAAAAAGTGGAAGCCTCTCTCCCTGAAACCCATTGCAGATTGTGTTATCCAAATGTAACTTGTTCAGTAAAACACAATGCATTTTCTAAAAATGACAAATTGAGTCATAAAACACCCACAAAAGTAGTTAACGCATCACCTTTCAAGCCAGCACCTTCGACACCATTAACATCCCTCAAATAATGATTATAATTTCTTGTGACATTGCAGGAAATAGAAAGTCCATTATTTAAAGGGCCACATTTTAGGAAAGGTAGAGCTCTCCTCTGAATCTTCTATACAACAAAAGCCACTAAATATGCATTAGAATACAAAGGATTCATTTCTTTCTAGGTGCTTCTATCAGTCATTAATATATGCCTATCTTAAAAAAATGATGTGGCTCCTTAAAAATAAAACGAAAAAATTCAGTCTTTTAACTCTTGAGATACAATTTCCTGTACTTTTCTGCAAAATATAACCCAAGCCTAGAAAAGCAATATGTTCTATTGCCATTAGGTTTTCCAAAGTTAAAAATTATTTCAAAGCCAAAAATCAAAATTTATTGATTTCACAGAACTTCACAGGCCAATTTTCTGTTGTTAAATATTTGTATTTTACCCTCTACTTAACTAAACAATGTCTCTTGTATTATGTCATTTAGTTCTCAATGTACCCTGTAAGATAAATAGTATTTTCCCAGTTTATTTACAAGAAAAAATAAGGCTTACTGAAGTTTAAGAGTGACTTATTTTGAAACTTCGATCTAGAACCTAGGTTCTCTACAGCTTGTGATACGAACCCCAACAAACTCCAAAACTCCAAAATTGGATAGATGAGGTTCAAGGCATATACAAGACAGCTCATAGTACTACATAAAGGAACTTCTATTTATATTTAACCGTTATTCATTGTTTTTAATGTCTACTTACATGCACAGTTTATAACACAAGTAAAATATGAGTATAATACAGGTTAAGCAACCCTTATCCAAAATGCTTAGGACCAAAAGTGTTTCAGATTTTGGAATATCTGCACTAAACCTACCTGTTCAGCATTCCTAATCTGAAAATCCAAAACACAAAATGCTCCAAAGAGCATTTTCTGTGGGCATTATGTCAGTACTCAAAGAGTATCAAATTTTGGAGCATTTTGGGTTTCGGACAAATGCATTGAAAATATTCAACCTGAGGTGAAAATAAATAATCTGTAAAGAAAATATGAACATCTATTGGGAGGTTTGCTTAAAAAATATTTATTTGATGGAGTATGTGATCAAAAGAGTTTGGTGACTACCATATTATTTTTGCTATAGTACTGTGTACACTATAGTTTTAATCAGGTGAATGCCCCTGAAGTTTCTTTCAGACATTCGTCTCTTCTCTATCTGAATCCCTATCAAAGCTAAAACTTCCATGAGAAATGACCTCCCTTCTTTGATTCAATCAACCAAACTACCATACATAAAATGCAGCACCTAAAGCTGCAACATACTGTAAAACAAATCCAGCCAAACATAACATTCTGTAATAACAGTAATACTCTATTCTGGACCATCCAACATGGTATCAAAAGCCACATGTGACTACTGAAATTCAGCTAGTGTGACTGAGAAACTGAATTTTTAATTATACTTAATTTTAATTAATTCAAATGTAAGAGTAAGCAGCACATGTGGCTAGTGGGTACCATAATGTATTGTATGGCCCTAGAAATCTGTGATCATGTAAACATCGTATGTATAGCTCAAGCATAAAAATTAGGAGTTCACTCAAAAAACTGTCCTTTAATAGGGGTAAAATTGCTTTGATGTGTTTTCCTACAAATACTCTAATATTACTGAGTATTTTCTCAATCATTTTGAAAAAATGAGATAATATTTTGTAAGATATATTAGCCTGAGGCAAACTCAATTAATGATACTTTTGAATATACACAGTAGTCTGCTAATAGAGTTAGTTTTTAAAGGAAGGAGACAAAGATTAACAACAGAGTTATTTCTAGGAAATCTTTTATGATTCAGTTATTTGGTTATTATAAATACTTTACTCTTAAAAGCTCTGTAAATAAACAAGAGGAACATAGAGTGGGGGTAGACAAGTCCTGCCATTTATCAAACATATTACAAAACCTCCATTATTGACACAGTATGGTTTTCGAGCATTAACAGACCAAGGGAATACATAGAAAGTCTTAACATTGTTGCATATGAAAACAAATTAAGCATATTTCAAAGGTAGCATCAAATCACTAGGGAAAACATGATTATTCAATAGACAACTTGGGCACAACTGGGACAGTTATTAAAATATATATAGTTGAGTATATATAATATACACAGTGGAAACATATATATATATATATACATGATAGATATCATGTGTGTATATATATATATATATTATATAGTTTACTCAAAAACCTCACATTTATAACCAATTTCAAATGGCTCAGATATTAACGTATAAAAGGAAGCTTAAAGATTAATGGAAGAAACCATGAGACATTTTTTCTGTCATCTAAAGTAGAACACTTTCTAACTTGTCCTTAAAGGTGAAATTCTTAAGAAAAAGATAGATAAACCTGACTTTATAAAAATCAGAAATTTTTGCTAGTAAAAATCAGTACAAAAATTTATAATACAAATGGAAAATAAAGACTAATTTCCCAAATAGTTCCTATAAATCAGAGAGACAGAGATCAAGAATAGAGAAATATAACAAACAAAAACCAGATACTCACAGAAAAAAAAAATTACTTAAATATATAAAGCAATGCTTAGCCCCACTCATCGGAAGAGAAATGCAAAAATAAACCTATAAGGAGATATCATTTTTCACTTTTGAGATGGAATTTGATATCTCCCCTTAACAAGACTGGGGGTGGAGGTTATGGGGTAAGCCAGCTGGTGAGAATGTAAATAGCTCTCCTGTGGACAGCACCTGGGTAGTAACAAGAACAAACAGCAGCAGAAGAGGTAATTCTTTTACCCCTTCCTATGGGCCAAGCAATATTCTAAGCACCCTACATGGTTAACACATTTAGCATTATGAGCTAGGTACTATTATCATCTCTAATCCACAAAACAAGAAACTAAGGCATGGAGAAGTTAGCTAATTTGCTCAAGATCACTCATTTAGTAAAGAGCTATCAAAATTACCCTTTGATTTAGCAATTTCACTTCTAAGTATTTATTCTAAAGATCT